TGCTCAGGCTGGTCTCGAACTCCTGAGCTCAAACAATCTGCCCGCCTCGGCCTCCCAGAGAGGTAGGATTACAGGCGTGAGCCACCGCGCCCGGCTTTCTTCAACATTGTTTTGGAAAACATTCTATAGCAAACACCTATGTAGCTGTCTCCTATTTATGTGTGTACCTCAACCACTTGAAAGTGGTGGTGGAACTTTGCCACTAAATATTACCAATTTTGTCTCCTAAGATTAAGGATTTTCTCGTGGACATAACCACAAAATAGTTGTCACACCTGATCAGAAAATGTATTATTGACAAAATTCTGTCTAATAAGCAGTTCACATTTCAGGTTTCCGGTTGTTCCAGTGTCCTTTTTGGCATTTGTTTCTTTGTTGATCTAGAATTGAATCAAGAATCACACACTTAAACTACCCCATCTCCTTCCTTTCACCTAGAATGGGCTCCTGCCTTTCCCCATGATCATTTTTTTTTTTTTGAGACAGAGTCTTGCTCTGTTGCCTGGGCTAGAGTGCCGTGGCGTCAGATTAGCTCACAGCAACCTCAAACTCCTGGGCTCAAGCAATCATCCTGCCTCAGCCTCCCAAGTAGCTGGGACTACAGGCATGTGCCACCATGCCCGGCTAATTTTTATATATGTATATATGTTGTCCAGCTAATTTCTTTCTATTTTTAGTAGAGACGGGGTCTCACTGTTGCTCAGGCTGGTCTTGAACTCCTGACCTTGAGCAATCCTCCTGCCTCGGCCTCCCTAAGTGCTAGGATTACAGGTGTGAGCCACCACGCCCGGCCTATTCCCCATGATCTTGACTCATTTCTTTGAAGAGGATAAGTTTAGTTTTTGTAAAGCAGTGTCCATGTAGAGTTGCTGGATTGTATCCTTAGGGATTAGGTCAGGTTGGATCCTTCGGGCAAGAATGCCACGATGGGAGTGTGTATCAGTTTGTCTTGTTGGTGATGTTAAGTTTATATCATGATTCAGGTGGTATCAACCGGAGACCTTTTAAAATTCTTTCTGTGCTTATAAAATATGTACACATCTAAACTTTATGTTATACAGTATTTTGTAAATGGTACATACGATCCCTCTTTGCAATATCATCAACATCTTTCTCAGCTGCAATTGAGGTGTACACCTTCACATGCAGTATATCACATGATGCCACTAAGATGTGCGGTGTATAAAGTGGCCTGTTTTAGGGGTGAGGTGGGCTCGGGAAAGGCCTGTCTTTAGTCCCTGAATCTGCCATGCTGGAGCTGAGGCAGATCTTCCTCGGCCGCTGGGTGGCTCAGCCATTTTGGTGTGATTCTTCTTCACACATCAGGTGGGTGATGTCCTGTGCTTGGTCCTCGCAGCAGCTCCCTTTAGAGTTGAGGTAGCTGTGGCTCAGAGATGTCAAGGGATCAGTGAGCTGCTAATTCTAACCTGGGGCAGGGGGTAGTTTATTGGGTAGGAATTTGACACCTCCAGCTAAAGTTCGATGTTATTCATTATCCATGAGTTTTATTTTATTTATTTTGTATTGTTTTATTTTATTGTTTGAGACAGTCTTGCTCTGTTGCCTGGGCTAGAGTGCCGTGGCGTCAGCCTGGCTCACAGCAACCTCCAACTCCTGAGCTTAAGTGATCCTCCTGCCTCACTCTCCTGAGTAGCTGGGACTACAGGTGTGTGCCACCACGCCCAGCTAACTTTTTCTATTTTTAGTTGTCCAGGTAATTATTTTTCTATTTTTTAGTAGACACGGGATCTGGCTGTTGCTCAGGCTGGTCTCAAACTCCTGACTTCAAGCGATTGTCACCCCTTGGCTTCCCAGAGTGCTAGTATTACAGGCTTGAGTGAGCCACCAGCTGGGCCCAGGAGTTCTAATTAGCTACTTTGCATTCTCTGTTGTGTTCTGCCTTTACGTGATCATCACTGGTGATGCTGGGTCAGTCTTGGGCCTGTCGTTCCGCTGCTGGGCACAGGAGCGTGCGCCGCCCCCTCAGTTGGCGAGTAATAGGCCTGTGCTTAATGTCTGTCTGAACGTCAACATGACCCACGCTTCTGTTTTCTAGGATGTGTACTCTGGCACACCCACCAAAGTCAGACACGTGGACTGCCAAGTGGAGGACGAGTTTGACTTGGAAGCTTGCTTAACTGAACCCTTGAGAGACTTCTCAGCCATGAGCTAACTGTGCCACCTGGTGGTGGCCAGAGGAACAAATGCCCCCACACCTGGTGGGAGGCCAGCTAAGGCCAAGCATGTGTTGTGCCCTTGTACCTGGATGGTTTCTTTGTTAATAGCTCATTATCTCATGATGAATTGTTATTCCTGCCTTATTTTCTTAAGAAAACATTAGTTTTATGTACCAGTGAGTGTATTTTGCATGTTTTAAATTGTTAATGGCGCTAAATCCAAGGAAGATTGAACTTAAAGCAATTGTGCAACAAACTCAATTGCTTATTCTTAACCATCCTCCAAGTTAAACTTACAAGTATCCTTTAACAGGTTTTCCACAAGTATTTTAGGCATAAATTTGCCACTTGTCAGATGGGTTGTTTTGGATTTAACCATGAATTCATGGGACCAATCTAAAGTCAGCCTTCTTTACAGGTGTCTGATAAAGTATTCTCAGTGTCAGACACCTAAATGTCTTTATGGAAACTTAGTGTTTGGCCTTTTTCCAGTATGTCGAAGTGGGTTTTTTCCCTCATACAGAGCTCTGAACAGTTAAACATGTTAAATTAATGGGTTTTATGTAAGTTATGCAGTCTTAATTTGGTACTTGTAAATAGCGCTAGGTAGGCTCTTTATCTAGAATACTCTAAGAGTTAAGGCAGCAGAGGGATTTAGAAAGAACTTTTTTTGCAATCAGTTAATTTACTATGTAAAATTTCTGTAAATGATATTGTGTATAGATTTTCTGTTCAAATATTCAATCATAAATTTCTTGTTAAGACTTAAGTTTCTGTTGCTTTTGTATGCAGTGATATGCAAAAATAAAACCTTCTTTAACTGATTTAGGATTTTGCCAAGTGGGCTAGATACTATGAGAACTAATGTGTTTGGGTGGGGGTCAGAGTGTACATCGGTCTGTCTCAGGTCTGAAGGGCTCATGTGGCATGAGGTGAGTGCAGCACGCGGTGTGGACAGGGAATTGTGACTGGTGCTCAGGAGTGGTTGCTCTGTGCCCCTCTGTGCCAGCTCATCAAGCCCCACTGGCCACTGGGTGAGGGCCCTTGTCTGATAGGTGTGGAGCTTCTTCAGGGGGTTCCCCAACTCAAAACAGGGAGTCAGTGACCTAGGTTCCATACTTATTCCTCAGCAGCTGGGATGACAGGGACATCCCACATCCCCAGATTTATACCCTACAGCATAGCCAGTGTTAGGCTGAATCCTAAGGGGTGCCTAGCCATGGCCTGCCTTCTATAGCCAAATCTGGGACCCTGCCTGCAGACATGGCCGCCAGCCCATAGCCACAGCCGCGTCCCAAAGACGCTTGTTCAGAATGGGTACCGGGCTTGCTTCAAGTGAGGGATGGGCTCAAGCAACTTTGTTCCATGACTTTGAAAAGGCAGAAGCCCTTCCTTAGTTAACACATCTGTGTTAACCCTGTTAACACTGTACCTGTGTCAGGTACAGCGTGGGAGACACTGGGACACGGCAGGAAACAGACCACCTGAAGTCTGCACTCACACTCTGGTGGGGAGATAAGATAGTAAGTGTGGTGTCAGGTAGAACAGGGTAGGGACAGGTACTTGGCAGTATTTTCAGGGTGGTTGGGGGATGCCAGATGAGGTAGCGTTTGAGCCGAGATGGCTATCACCCCAGGGAGGGCAGCGAGTGCAAAGGCCCTGGGATAGGAGTGTAGCATGTTGACTGCCAACAACATCCTAAGATGTGGGCAGACTTTTGAGGCGTGTCCATGAGGAAACTGCTAGAGGAAGCCTTGGCTTTGTGGCTGTGAGTGAGGACCAGCGGGAAGGTGTGGATAATATGGGAGATTAGAGCAAAGTGTAGTGACACTGGTGCCTCCACCATGACAACAGAACAGAGAAAATGTCTTCTGAACTGGATGATGTGGCCAAGGTTTCTAGGCAGGTAGCTTCTGGCATCCTGCTTACGTTAAAAGCTAAAACAGCATAGGGAGAAGTGAGGGAGGGCGCTAACTGTGAATGAGCAGCGCTCTCAAATGTTCCCAGCCTTGCCAGATGGCGAAGGGGGCATCCAGAGGACAGCCAGGAAGGCTGGATCTATGCTGAAGTGGAGGGTGTGGCTTTGCAACCCCCTAAGACCTTTCCAGCAGCAGGGCTGCTTGTCCCTCGGCAGGGGCACGAGACAGACGAGGGCTGTTTTGAAGAGACTTGTGTGTGTGGCTTTTGTCTAATGAATTGTGCCCCAGTAGGAGTCACAGGAGTCTAGAAAAGCTTTTGAAAGAATTACGCTGGCAGAATCACCTCCAGGTTGGGCTGCAAAGGACTCGGCAATACGAAATGAAAGAGGCCTTGGACCAGCAGGAAGCAGACTGAGACACACCTGCCACCTTTCATGGAAGATGAAGGATAATTCCAGGGTGGGACCTCAAGCCCAGAAACTTGGAGAATCTCTGGAGCAAGGCCAAGCCCTCATGGGGACCTGCCCACATGACATTTGCCTGGCGGACCAGGGAGTGGCTCTTGCAGGCATCCTAGGTCTGTGTCACCCCACTATCGTAAGTTGGGTGTGTAGCCTGGTGGGGCTGGAGGGCAGGTAGGTTGTCTATTTAGCTCTGAGGTCTTCATCTGTAGGGAGGCTCAACCCAGGAGCTGACCTTAAGGAACCATGTCTGAGGAGCCCTGTCCACATGGGAGTGGGTTCAGATGACATTCTTGACTTTGGGTTGACCCTGTGGTGGGGGTGGAACTTGGAGGCCTTGGCAGGGAGCTTATCTTGCATTTTGGAGGATTATAAATAATCTGTGTGGCCAGAGGTTGGGCTATGGTGGTCTGAGCAGGGCTGTGATGGGTGAGGTCAGGGCTGGGTGTGGGTGCAAGTGGGACATTGACCCTGCCTTGGGTGAGTGAGACAGGCAGTGGGGGTCTCAGGTGGGGGTTTGAGGCCTGACTTGGGCTTCAGTTGCCCTGGCTGCTAGGTTTTGCTTCACATTTAAATTCTTAGAATGCTTTTAAGCAGCAAGGAAATCAATCTTCAGACTTCAGTGCTTGCCTCTTAATGCTGTTAATGTAATCTAGTATTTTCTCTGAGTGTTACAAATAACCAATAGGATAGGATTGAGTTGTCTTTATTCTTGACTCTTGTACGTCGAACCTAGAAGTGTCAGAATTAAATTAAGTTTGTCCAGCATGATTAATTCTTCACAATCCCAGGCTGATTGTTATCTCGTCCCCATGGGTGAGTCATTTTTCTGTCTTTTCACATACGCTGGGGTCAGCTTATCAGGGTTGTCATCCCACATCCCCAGATTTACTGTTCTCCCTGTATTGTGCAGCCGTTCATGTTTCTTTCTGGCCTGTCAGGATCTTGTCCTTTAGGTTCTCTTTTTCAGCAGTTCTGCCACCAAGTTGTTGACTCCTCCGTCCCTTTGGTAGGAAAATGTCAATGGAATCTCCCAGGTGAATCGAATAGCCTCTGCCTGAACCACAGGGCCAGCTCCTGTTGGCTTTCTGGGCCCATGTGGTAGCTCCTGATTAAGTGACCGGTTACGGGATCTGTTATTCCATGTGGGCAAATCTGGAAGGTCTGCTAGGTAAAGTCATGGTACAGTACTTGGCAAACTGAAGTACTTTGCACAGTAGTGTGTTACTGTCTACTTTCAACCCAGTATGGCTTGGGGAGAGGGGGAGGAAGTGTACCTATTTGATCATCAGTCTGCGTATAATTAAAAAAGATTTTTTTTAATTAGGGGGAATTGAGCGGGGGGGTTCAATTTTTTTTCTTTCTTTTTTTTTTGAAACAGAGTCTCGCTCTGTTCCCCAGGCTAGAGTGCCATGGCATCAGCCTAGCTCACAGCAACCTCAAACTCCTGAGCTCAAGCGATCTTCCTGCCTCAGCCTCCCGAGTAGCCGGGACTATAGGCGTGCACCACCACACCCAGCTAATTTTTTCTACTTTTAGTTGCCTGGCTGATTTTTTTTTTCTATCTTTAGTAGAGACAGGGTCTCGTTCTTGTTCAGGCTGGTCTCAAACTTCTGCATTCAAGCATTCTTCCCACCTTGGCCTCCCAGAGTGCTAGGATTGTAGGTGTGAGCCACTGCACTGGCCAATTTGTTATTTTGTTTTTTTTTTGAGACAGGGTCTTGCTCTGTCATCCAGGCTGGCATGCAGTGGTGTCATCATAGCTCACTGCAACCTCAAACTCGAGTGGGCTCAAGCGATCCTCCCACCTAAGCATCCTGAGCAGCTGGGACTACAGATGTGAGCCACCATGCCTGGCCTAGTCTGTGTATAATTTTATGTTTAAGAAAGAAGTTTGAGGGTTTTTCTTTTTGTTTTGTTGTTCTTTTGTTTGCATTTTAATGTGCAGATTGGCCCTAAACCTCTTGGTAAAAATCACACTTCAAAGATGCACATAAAGTTTCCAGGAAAAACCTTCAGTGTAGGAGTGTAGGAAGCAAAGCCTCCAATATTAGTACTAACGACTCAGTGGCTGAGGTTTCAACAATGACTATGACTGTATACAGTTCCTTGGCGCTGCCGCTGTTGCTGAGCTCCCTGCACATTCCTTGATTCCTTGGTCCTCTCAGGCTGGATAAGGTCTTCAGGCAAGAATAAAAACAGCAGGTGCTTAGAAGTATGAAATCTGCTTCAGGGCATCCTGGCTGCTTCATGGAAGCTGAAAGCCAGGAAGGGTCAGCCTTGCTCGGGCCAAGACACTGCCCACCCCTCCTGCCAAGACCTCTCACCCCAGAAACTCCCAGTTAGGCCCTTACCTGATCCTCTCCTGGGTCCCACACATGTAAGTCTAGCTGCTGGCAGACAGCCCGGTGTGGGTTGAACAGGCGCTTGGAACGTGCAGAGTGGGCCTTCCCAGTCTCCTGACCCCACAGCCAGTCTCACCATGGTGCCATGGGCTTTACTAAACTCCACAGAGCTCACCCAAACCTGGGGGGCCTCAGCAGCTTCTTGATCTCTCCATATCCCCACAGAAAGACAGAAGCGAGATGGCAAGACTGGACTCCAACAGATACCAGGGACCACCAAGCCAGGTGACAAGATGTTTTCTGAACCCAAGATGCAAGGGGTGGTGTAAACCTGCAACAGCCCCAAGGCCTGCGTGGCAGCAGCAACTGCAGGAGCAGAAGAGGGAGGAAATGGCCAAGCACCTGAGGCCTTGAGAACGGGCGTCCAGAGGAGCCGTCCACATCCCCGGAAGCACCACTGGCCAGCATGAGAGCTAATGGTGTCTGTTTGGTGGTCCAGTGCTGGTATCCACTACAGCTTCATGAAACCTGGTCAATTACAGATTACACCTGCCACCAATGGGATGAAATGATGAGGATGCTTGCAGTTAAGCAGCCAAGATTGGTCAATAGAGACAGGCCAATCCTCTCACAAGACAATACTGCTCAAACTACAGAGGCTGGATTTGGAAACTCTGTCATTCACCATATTCACCAGACCTTGCACCAACTGACTACCACTTCCAAGCCTTGGACCACTTCTTGCGAAGGTAAATAGTCAATTCTCAACAAGCTGTAGAAAACGCCTCTCGAGATTTCATCGCCACTCGCTCTCCAGGCTTCTTTGCTGCTGGCATAAACCAGCTACCATTAAGATAGCGAAACTGTCAATAGTTTAGGTGCATACTTTGATTAATTGTACTGCTTCTTGTTTGAGAGATAATAAACTATACTTTTGAAATTGGACATTTCATATTTAATGACCTAATACTAC